ATTAACTTTCAGTTGTAATGGCTATGTAAGTGTGACTCAGGGTGGAAACAGAGGTCAAAAATTGGCCCTTTCTGCTGTTGCTCATCCTTGGCATTGAGCGAGATTGATCAGTAAACTGTTTCTGGTTCTGTGGACTACAATATTCACTAGATTTTTGCAGGTACAGACCTGACTAATTCTCTGTTGTTTCCCTTTTTCAGCTGCTTTAAAAATGTCCCAGTTTCTCTCATCTTTCTCCCTTTTTTTTGTCAGCATACATCAGTTCCGCAATGTGGTTCAAAGTGCAAAAACTCTTTACACTCAGTTGACAATGTATTGTCGAAGGCTTTCATGGCCGGAATCAGTGGGTTGTTGTAGGTTTTTTGGGCTGTATGGCCATGTTCTAGAAGCATTTTCTCCTGGGAAAATCCTTTGTTGAGAGGTGATTAGGTGTTCCTGATCAAAATGAACAAAATGCAGCTACCAGTATTTAAAAAAACACTCTAAAATTATAACAGTAAATAAAGAACAAAACGAAAACACAGGGGAACTCCAGACAAGAACCAATCAGGAACCACCCCTCAACAAAGAATTTTCCCAGGTAGTAACAAACCACACTTAAAAACTGTCAGGCCATCAAATGCTAATCAAGGTGGCCAATTGAAATAGTCAAACCTAGCTCCAACAGACAAGAGTTCTTTCTCCCACCTGCTTCCACAGATATATAAACCCAATTTTCCTAGTTTCCAACAGACCTCACAACCTCTGAGGATGCTTGCCACAGATGCAGGCAATACGTCAGGAGAGAATGCTTCTAGAATATGGCCATACAGCCTGAAAAACCTTCAACAACCCATTCCATTGACCATTTTATCACATGGGGCAATTGAAGTGTGCTAGGATGCTTCTGCCCCGGTTCATCCATGGAGCACCTTACTTAGGCGATCCCTCATAGTCCGAGGATGATGGTCCTCCAACGTCGGTGTTCTGGCGGTGGGTCCATAGGTGACTGTGGAACCCAATTCTTGATCTGCATCTTCTCCCGCAGTGAGGGCATTGATTTCCAGGTGGAAAGCAGTCCCAGTCGGGGTTGGCTTGATGTGCCTGCCTCTTGGCACATTTCTCTCTTTTGCCCTCCATTCGTGCCTCTTCAAACTCCACAGAACTGCTGGTCACAGCTGACCTCCAGCTGGAGCGCCCAAGGGCCAGGGCTTCCCAGTTCTCAGTGTCTATGCCAGAGTTTTTAAGGTTGGCTTTGAGCCCATCTTTAAATCTCTTTTCCTGTCCACCAACATTCCATTTTCCATTCTTGAGTTCGGAGTAGAGCAACTGCTTTGGGAGACGATGGTCGGGCATCCAGACAACGTGGCCGGTCCAGCGGAGTTGATGGCGGAGGACCATCGCTTCAATGCTGGTGGTCTTTGCTTCTTCTGGCATGCTGACATTTGTCCACTTGTCTTCCTAGGAGATTTGCAGGATTTTCTGGAGGCAGCGCTGATGGAATCGTTCCAGGAGTTGCATGTGACGTCTGTAGACTATCCACGTTTCGCAGGCATATAGCAGGCATGGAGCACCACTGTGCCCATTGAAAAATGTAGAGTGACTTGTGGTGGGGCTCCTTAGATGAACTGGGATGGCAGCATGGTGGGATGCGGTCGCTGCCAAGACACAAGGGATGGGGAAGCATCTGCTGGCAGCCGGAGTAGAGGCTGGCAAATCATGGCTCTGGACCTCATCCATATGAGGTCCAGGATGAGGAAAGGTGGCAAAACATTGCCCTTCCTAGTTGTCTCAGGCAAGCACAGCCTGATTCACTCTCTCCTTTCTGGTGTGAGTTTCCTCATTAATAGCTTTTGCCACTTTGGCCATACTCTGATGTTGGTTGGCTACATGTGGCCCAGTTTACCTGTGAATGTTAATGAGTGTGGTTTTTCCTTTGTATAGTCATTATTACCATGAATTGGCTCATTATAGATAGGCTTTTATGGTTTAAAATAGGCCCCAAGGATAACATCCAAGTGGTCAAGATTTCTAAGGGTATGATTATCAATTTTGCAGCTGATTAGGGGAGTTGGAGGCAGAGAGAGCAATCTGCCAAGGTCTGGAGGAGGGGAAAAATGATCCCTGGACTGTTAGAAGTTGCCCATCCTCAGTATAATTTGTGAAATTGCCTTTGGCATTAGTCTGAATGTAGTCATGTTTGGCCTTTAAAGCATAACCCTTTGCACTGAACCTCAGTAAAAACACATCTGTTTTCAGCTGTCACCCGCCCACCTATTTTCAGGACTAAGTCATATTATAGTAGTAGCACCAGAAATCCTCAGTTCAGTGTCCATTTGGTGAGCTAGGAGACATTCAGGTTGCAGCATTTCTCTAAGGAGTGAAGGGTTCCTGGGTATTATGTTGTCTTTGCCCTCTATGTTAGGTTCTTGGGTCTTTATAGGAAGGGTTACAAGGACTTCTTCAGATTGGCATGGCTTTGCCTGAGCAGGGATACCCTTTTCTTTGCTTCTGGCACTTAGTTCCAGCTTTTATTGTCTGCAAAAGTCTTTTTCTTTTCTTGGCTGTTGTTTGACATCTGCCCCAGCTCAGCTCTGATACCTTTTCAGCATGAGCAGACCTTTTTCAGTAGAACTCAGCACGTTGAATAATAGAATCATAGAGTTGGAAGAGACCTCATGGGCCATCCAGTCCAACCCCATTCTGCCAAGAAGCAGGAATTGAGCTTGTCTTGAGAATGGTTCACCATGATTGTGGTGCTCAGGACAACGGAAGTGGGGAAGGGCCTTCTAAAAGATCCCAAGTTCAGGCTTGGGACCTTTTTAAATTAGATACTTATAGCAACTTGATTGAATTTGACTTCTATGGCTGTGTCCTGTGATATCTCAGGATTAGTAGTTTAGGATGGGACATTTAGAATATGCAGAGCACCTCACCAAGTACATACCCTAAGCAGGGCAATAGCCGGGGGGCTTAAACCCTAAGAAGGGCCATAGCTGGGAGGGGTTAAAAATTTAATCCTGCCCAGAAATGTGTCAGGTTAAAAAAGAAACCTAGTTTACTCAGAACTTGGTTAACAAGTTAAAATTTTTGAGTAAACTAAGTTTTTTTTTGGGGGGGGGGAAGGGTAGAACCCTTAACCTCCCCTTTGGTTACAGCCCTGACCCTAGGATGCCATAAAACCAAGCAATGGCCATTGAAGTGGATCTATAGTGTGATAATTAACAAAATGAGTAGAATGAAAATGTCAGGATGATATCTGGTTGGACAAAAATACATTATTAGATCACTATTCCTGTAACTGAACCTTACAACCAGGGCTTGTAGTAGATCGTCTCCCTCATATAATTTGGTTCCTTTCCAGTTTAGTTCTGTTTTCAACAGGATCCCTAGACCCCCAGAGGCTCTTCCTTTATTTTTTGATTTTTGGGTACAAAAACACAGTGTTCTCTCACGTATTGCGTGTGTTACATTACCTGCAATCCTGCGAAAAGTGAAAATCCGTGAAGTAGGGACTTTCTCTCTCCTTCTCTCTCTGTCTATACACACACACACACACAATCTCACGTTGGCAAGTAGCATCTCAAGCAGCCGCTGTAAAAGTCCTACTTTCATTTTTGGTGTGTATTCATTCACTGAGTATATCCTTGATGCCTCTCCTGCCTTTCTTTCCCTGCACTGGGTTGGTCTCGTAACGTCACACGGGTCTCCTCTACTCCCTCCTTCCCGACCTTCCTGCCATTCACCCCTCTAGACCTGTCCATCATCCTTCCCTTCCTTCTCTCATTTTCAATCCAGAAGGGCTCCCATCTCTGGGGGAGAGTGGAAAAGAGGAGGAGGAGGAGGAAGCAGATGATGATGAGGAGCTGGGCAAGTGGGGTGCCTGCAGGAGGTGGTTTTCCAGGCTGGCATTTCCCATGATGCGCATGGCAAGGAAAGGTGCAGCTCCAGTGTAAATATATACATTACTGTATTGCAAAACCGCAAAACAGCGGGTCCACGAAAAGCGAACCACGAAGTAGTGGGGGAACACGGTAGCTATTACTTTCCTGAGCTGATGGCTCCAAGGCCCGGGAGTAGCTTTGTTATAGAAGAATGGTAGGTCATCCCTCTTTGGTGGGGTGAAGAAGGGTCCTTTCTTCCTCTTTTTTCTCAAATCCCCCAATATGGAAAGATTGTTGATTTTTGCCTTCATTTTAGTTTTCGTGTGTTGAGTAGAGCTGTTCACTGTTCTTTTCCTTCCATCTAGGCCTTGGCTTGACTAACTGTAATTCTTGCATAAAGAATCAGTTGTGTAGGAATGAATTTGTTATACAGAATCAATAACATCTGGGTGGTATCCTCTAAGCCATCTAGTCTAACCCTCTACTCTAGTGGTTCTCAACCTGTGGGTCCCCAGGTGTTTTGGCCTACAACTCCCAGAAATCCCACCCAGTTGACCAGCTCTAAGGAGTTTTGGGACTTGAAGGCCAAAACATCTGGGAACCCACAGGTTGAGAACCACTGCTCTACTCAGTAAAGGAAATCTAGAGCTATAATATCCCCAACCTGTTGGTCCTCCAGTTTCTGCCTAAGCTCTCCCAACCAGTAAAAGTCAAAGGTGTCATCATTGTCATCACCTCACCATTTTAAAATCTTATTGTTTAAAGTGTAATTTGAAATTGTTTTAATATTGCTGATAGATTAATTATGTCAAAATGTTGGTTTTTTATATGTTTTTTAACACCACCGTAGTCATTTTAATTTTTAGGGCACCTTGTGTTCCTACCTGGGAGAAAGTTGAACTATAAATAAAGTTAATGTCATCAGCAGCAACATCTCTTTGGGACTATAAGTCCCAGAATCTTCCAGCTAACATGGCGAATGACTGTGGTGGATTGGGATGTGGAGATCTGTAATCCAAAAAAGGAGCATTTCCAAGCTGTGGCAATAGCCACTTTTGCTGTAGCAACTCAACTACTGTGTAACATTTATCTTCCTTTTTGCATTGAGACTAAGATGCAATCTTTTCTTTGTGGCAGGACTTGTGTGGAGCTACAACCTGTGACACCTTGGGAATGGCAGATGTTGGCACCATGTGTGACCCGAAACGCAGCTGCTCAGTCATTGAAGATGATGGCCTTCCCTCTGCTTTTACCACGGCCCATGAGCTGGGTAAGGAATGATTTTTGTAAAGAGGGAGAATGAGGCAGACATTGGTAATATCCATGCTATTTAATCTCATTTTTCTTCACAAGGACAGCTCAGTGAAAGGACAGGTTGTCCAGGCCTGACCATATCTACCACAAATTCCTTCAATTTTCAGGTGAAATAGGGATGCACAACATTGGCCTCTGTGGTTGGCAAGCAGTACAAAGCTTCTTGGTTGGATCAATGAAATATAAACACATAGCAACTGGCCAGAAATGCAGAACTTTGGTTGTTCTACATTCCCCATTGCTAGCTCTAATGTCAATTCCACATCCCAATCACAAGGACATCTTATCCAAGCCTGGATTGTGGCATAGCTGCCTAAGGGACAGGACAAGACACAGGAAATGCTTTAGCTTCAGGCCAGATTGTTTGTCCATCTAGTCCAGTATTGTCAACTGATTGCTTAGAGCTTTTCTGGATTTTAGGCGGGGGGTTTATTTCCTGTCATTAGTACATGATTCAGAAAAGCATGCAGTCCAAACTGAGATGGAACCTGAGACCTTCTACATGTAAACAAGCATTCCACCCATGATCCCTGCCTTTTCTTGAAGTAAAGATTTAGATACCAGCTCTCTGTGTGCCCATTGATGTCTGTGATTCTGTGCCTGGTAGAAAGAATGGTGTTGTACCTGGGGATGTTGAGAGTTTGGATCTCCAAAATATTGCTCCATTTCTCAATGTGTTTCATCCAACTAATAATAATAATAATAATAATAATAATAATAATATAATAATAATAATAATAATAATAATAATAATAATAATAATAGAAACAACTGGAAAAGCTGGCATGATATGAGGATTTAAAGATCGAACTGCAAAGACTCTGGCACAAGCCAGTAAAGGTGGTCCCAGTGGTGATCGGCACACTGGGTGCAGTGCCTAAAGACCTTGGCCTGCACTTAAACACAATCGGTGCTGACAAAATTACCATCTGTCAGCTGCAGAAGGCCACCTACTCGGATCTGCATGCATTATTCGCTGATTCATTACACAGTCCTAGACACTAGGGAAGTGTCTGATGTGTGATTGAATGCAAAAGCCAGCATAGTGATCTTGTTTGCTGTGCACTAATCTTGTTATGTATCAAATAACAACAACAAAGAATGTTATTTTTAACTAGCCCTATACTCTGCCTCCATCCCCCTGAAGCGAACTTCTTACAACCTTCAGTGGTCTGAATAGTGCACAGTTCTGAGCTTGGATGGTCAACTGGTGCAAATCACTTGCCAAAGGATAGGGTTGATGGATAAAGTGCTCAATGCAGATGACAAGATTAGTAAGGAGAGCACTATGTCTCTAAAAGGGAGCAGTGGTAGTGTGTAAGATCTAATTATGGATCAAATTGGGAGCCAGAAGTATTTGGGGAACTCTCTAGTGGAAGGCACATTGGAACATCCATGTCTTTAGTTCTTTTCAGAAGGTGGACAAGGTGGGTGCCAGTCTAATCTTCCTGGGGAGAGAGTTCCAGAGCCAGGAGGCCACCACCGAGAAGGCCCTCTCTCTCATCCCCACCAACCATGTTTGTGATGAGGGTGGGAGCGAGAGAAGGGCCTCCCCAGAAGATCTTAGAGATCACATAGGTCCATAGGAGAAGATGTGCTCACAAAGATAAGCTGGGCCCAAACAGTGTATGGTTTTATAGGTGATAACCTGCACCTTGAATTGATACCGGAAACTTAACAGCAGTCATTGGAGCTGTTTGAACAAGGAGGTTGACTGATCTCTGTGGTTCACTTCAGTTATCAACCTGGCCACCGATCTTTGCACTAGCTATAGTTTCCGGGCCATCTTCAGGGGCAGTTCTGAGTTTGGATGGGCAACTGGTGCAGATCACTTGCCAAAGTATAGGGTTGATGGATAAAGTGCTAAAGGCAGATGACAAGATTAGGACCTCGGTGGTAGTGCAAGGAGAGCACTATGTCTCTAAAAGGGAGCAGTGGTGATGTGTAATATCTAATTATGGATCAAATTGGGCATTGCAATAATCCAATCTCCAAATCTGTTACAGCAGCCAACTTTGCCTCTGCCTAATTTTGCACGCTCCCTTTCAAATGTTGGCCAAGCATCCCTACATCATTCTGTGGCTAAGAAAGCAGCCACTTAAACCAAAGCCACAGATTGGCGCCATATCTTTGGTGGCAACCTGGGCAGCAGATTTCCTTTGGGTAGTGAAGCTGGTGACAATTGGTTTCTTTTCTTCCCTTTCTTTGCTAAATAAATACAGAATAAACCCTCTTGATCCATAATTAGGAGGGAGACAGGCATGTTGTTTAAAATAGAATGGTTCATTTGGATTCATTAAAATAGAATGGTTCATTCAGGAAGTTTAGACAATAACAAAAGCATCAAGACGAGTTGTCTGGGGAAACTCCTCTCTGGGTGCATACATAGTGTTGAGAAGTTACTTTTTAGGATTACATTTCCCATACTTTCCACCAGCAGGGCCAAGATCTGTACTTGAATCTTATAGAGGTTGTAGCCCAAAATTAACTTTGGTAAGCAATCTTTCTCTAATGGAGTGAAAGAGACAGAGAGACTACTAAAGCCAGCATTTTAGTCCCAGTGTTGCAGGGAGGTTTGACTGGAACTGCTGGAAAACAGCTGTTAGGAAGTCAAACAAGCCCAAGCTGGAGAACGCTCTCTCCTGGCTCTGCTCTAGCTTCATTTCCCAGACTCCAGAAATCCTAAAATAACATGTCACGGCCAGGATGCATTCGATACACACCTAGATCCGGAAAAAAGCCTAGTGCCAGATTGTCAACAGGATTTACAGCCAAATTGCTTGACTTTTTATTTGGAAAACAGGAAGAGAGTCAGGGTTTCTGATTAGCACCACAAGAAATCCCCCATTCCCAAACTTGATTTGGAAGCAGTCCCACTTCCCACAATGGGATCAGTGCAGAATTGAATTTTTACTGTCAGAATGGATTATCTCACAGTTTCTGTGTGTGTCACTTGTGTACTGCAAGCTGAGCATCTCTTATCCAGAATTCCAAAATCCATGGATATGGATTTAAACCCAAAAGTCATTGATTTAATAGTTTTAAATTGTTTTTATATGAATTTGATTATGTGAATTAACCTGTTTTAAACAATGAATTTGTGTGCATTCGGCATCTAATTGTTGCCAGTCTGTATGCCAACTTGAGTCACCTTCGGGCTGAAAAGGGCGGGATAAAAGTGTGGTAAATAAATAAATAAATAAAATCTGAAATACCCCAAAATTGTTCAAATGGTGACAAATTTTGGTTAAGGCACAACACTATTAAAAATATTGTATGAAATTACTTTTGAGCTTTCTGCATAAGGTGTATTTGAAATATAAATGAATGTCATGTTTAGACTTGGATCCTTAAAATATGAAATTTCAAAACACTTAAGTGTTTCAGATAAGGGGCCCTTAGCCTATAACGTTCAATGCATTTGAATAAGGCTACCCATATGAAGGAGCCCCCAGTGGTGCAGTGGGTTAAACCGCTGAGCTGCTGAACTTGCAATCCAGAGAGTAGGGTGAGTTCCTGCTGTTAGCCCCAGCTTCTGCCAACCTAGCAGTTCAAAACATGCAAATGTGAGTAGATCAATAGGTACTACTCCAGCGGGTAGATAACGGTGCTCCATGCAGTCATGTCGCCACATGACCTTGGAGGTGTCTACGAACAACGCTGGCTCTTTGGCTTAGAAATGGAGATGAGCACCAACCCCCAGAGTCGGACGTGACTGGACTTAATGTCAGGTGAAACCTTTATTTTTACCGTACCCATATTAAAGCTGCTGGGCTTTGCAATGGGATCACTAGGCAAGTGAGGTTTATATATCTGTGGAATGTCCAGGATGGGAGAATTTCACAGAAGTATATAAACTTTCCACAGATATATAAACCTCACTTGCCTAGTTTCCAACAGACTTCACAGTCTCCGAGGAAGCCTGCCATAGATGTGGGTGAAATGCCAGGAGAGAATGCTTCTGGAACATGGCCAGACAGCCCAGAAAACTCACAGCAACCCAGTTATTCAGGCCGTGAAAGCCTTTGACAACACAAGGATCATTTTGTTTGGCTGTGGCAGGGCCTCAAATAACATGTATTTTTCATGTGCAAACTAAGCCAGTTAAAACAGTGATTAGATGTCTGTGGTGGCGTGAATTGCAAATTTGGCAGTTTTTATGCTTTCAGAAAACATTTATATGTGGTGTGATAGTCAGAAAATGAAGACTTGTTCTAATAGCACCTGTTTGCCCATAAAGGATAACACAGCAGAAGAAAACAGGAAGTCTTTGTGTGATGGTTGGTGGCTTTGGAGTGTAGGGTAACACAACCCAAAGAAAACAATTAGAAATTAAATCCAAACATGGTATTAAAGGTCACAGATATATTAGAGGGAAGGGATATAAGCATGTTTTCATCTTCTCTTTCTCAGAATAATAGTACTAATAACGGTTGGTGACTTCCATGTTTATCGCACGATCAATCCACCTCAAATTTTCCCTATAACTTTCAAGGAACTATCCAGGGTGCTGAACTGGTTCTCCAAACAGTCTCAGCATTGTGGATAGCTGCTCTAAAGTTTGAAATAAAACCTAGAATAGGTTCTCTGCACCCTGATATGGCAGTCGCCAACTGCTTTCAACAATAGATTCAGGGGGTAAACAAATGCACATCATGATATGGTGGAATATGGGAATAGCTAGGGCCCTGGATGGAGCCCCCGGTGGCGCAGTGGGTTAAAGCACTGAGCTGCTGAGCTTGTTGATCGAAAGGTCGCAGGTTCGATTCCGGGGAGCGGTGAGCTTCCACTGTCAGCCCTAGCTTCTGCCAACCTAGCAGTTCGAAAACATGCAAATGTGAGTAGATCAATAGGTACCGCTCTGGCGGGAAGGTAACAGCACTCCATGCAGTCATGCCGGCCACATGACCTTGGAGGTGTCTACGGACAACGCTGGCTCTTCGGCTTAGAAATGGAGATGAGCACCACACCCCAGAGTCAGACATGACTGGACTTAATGTCAGGGGACTACCTTTACCTTAGGGCCCTGGATGTCTTTGAAAATGGGGTTAGATAAAGCCATGGTGGAAAAATGAGTCAGTGGTTACTAGACCTCAGGATGACGATATGTTGTCTTCAGCCTCAGAGACAACATACTAATAAAAACATTATTGCTAGAGAATAACAGTGTTCGTGTTAGTTGTTGTGTACTTGGCAGGAATTCACTTGACCATTATGAGAAACAAGATGTGGCATCAGAAAGGTCTTTGGTCTGATCCAGCAAAACTTCTAAACATTAGAAATGGTAGTAGCTGTTCAATAGTGTTGGTGGTTGTTGTGATCTCTTTCATTTGAGATCTTTAAATAGATAGCAATCTCTCAAGAATACTTTGGCCATTTCTTCCTGGAAGGCAAGGGGTTGGACTAGATGGCCTTATGGTCCTCCCAACTCAATGTTTATTTATTTATTTACTCTATTTATACCCCACTTTTCTCTATCCCGAAGGGGACTCAAGGCAGATTTCCATATGGCAGCAATTCAATGTCTTTGGACGACAAACAGAATACACTTAAGTTAAAAATTAAAATTAAAATTAAATACATATTAAAACATATAAGACATTGCATTCACTATTAAAACCACACTATCCTCAATCATTTAATAGTGAACCATTGCATTCAGTATCACACCATCCTTCCATGTTTAAGAAAGACATGCCGTGGGACCGGTGCTTGCAGGACTATTCACATCTCAAAATGACAGCTCTGTTGCTTGTTTTAATGCAAATGCTTTGGCCAACGTTGAACTCAGTCAAATTTATTTTAGGTCTAATTTCTAACAGGGGAGTGTTCAGCTATTCCCAGCATATCAGACATCTGCTTTCAGATGTTCAGAAGGAGCCCAAATATTGGGAACATGGAGAGGAGAACCACGTTCCCAGGGTATCCCGGGTGTATGAATAAGGAAATTATTTCTCTCTGCTCCTCCCCCATTTCCACTTCTCCTCCAGTTTCTCAGGTTTCCTTCCCATGTCTTTTGGAAAGGCGAGTGTCCACACACAAAGCAGATGGTGTGAATCTTGGCCAGCAAATTGCTGGCTTGCTGGCTTTTGCTGGCAAGGGCTGCATGCATCTGTTGTAACTTTTCCTGCCTTTGGGGGCAATCTGCTCAGACCTTGAGAAGCCAGCAAGCAGCGCAGCCAGGAAGGAGGCTCGGAAGGAGCAACAACTGCGCTGCAGGCATTTCCAGGACCAATCAGCCTCATAAGAACGAAGGGTGTCTTTTATGGATTGTTAAAGGAAGGTTAGAGAAGTAGTTGTGAAGAAAGGCAGGTAGGCCTGTCCAGTTTATGACCCACCAGATCAAACACATTCCAACAGATGTATTTTGTGGCCTGCCAGTTTACTGACATCCCTTCCATATGTGTGTACTTACTGTCCTGCCAATTGGTGCCTTTGAAACATGTGCATCATATATCCTACGTTAAAAGAGCTGTAATGGCAAAACAAAAAGGAAAGAAAGGAAGACGCAGAAAAAGAGATGAAAAGACACCTCTTTAGTGTCTGCTGTCAACTATCCAAAGTCTAAATTCTCCCCCAAATTCCAGTACCTGCAAAGTTATCTTTTTGGATCACAACTCCCAGAATCCCTAAGCCAGAATGCCCACTAGATTAAAGGGTTCTAGTGGTTGTAATTCCTCAAAAGAGGTGTTTTCCAAGCTGTTCCCCATTCACGATGCATGCCATCAGCCCAGCAAAACATTTTTATTCACCCCTCCCAAGCCTCCATGAGAAAATATCAGTGAAGACCTTTGGCCATTGATAATTTCATTCACACAAAGTTGCCTTCCTGTTTCCTCTGTGGTTTTCAATCAATCACATTTCTGTTTACGAACCTACCCGATCTCTTCGATAATCTGGAGAGGCCCTGCTCTCGCTCCCGCCCACTTTGCAGGTGCAATTGGTGGGGACGAGGGAGAGGGCCTTCTCTATGGTGGCCCCCCGACTCTGGAACTCACTTCCCAAGGATATCAGGCAAGCCCCCACATTGGCAGTCTTTAGGAGGAGCCTGAAAATGTGGCTGTTCCAGTGTGCCTTCCCTGAATAAGGAAATAATTCTCAGCTAAATGTCCTCAGAAGCACTTTAACTACTCGTTGGGTTGCTCTCCCTTTATTTCTTTTAAAACCCTCTTACCAGATACATCCTACCTCTGTTCATGCCCAGCGTTTATTTTTTAAAAAACCTGAAAACGTGGCTGTTCCAGTGTGCCTTCCCTGAATAAAGGAAACAATTCCCTGCAAAATGTCCTCAGAAGCACTTTAACTACCCGTTGGGTTGCTCTCCTTACATTTCTTTTAAAACCCTCCTACTAGATACATCCTACCTCTATTCATGTCCAGCATTTTTTTTTTAAAATTTTAAATTATTACATCTGGCCTGGCCATAGGTTTTTAAATCTTTGCGTGTTATTGTCTATATGTGAGTTATATTAATTGTATTGATTTATTTGCTTATTGCTTTGTTGTTTTTACTGATGTGTTGTTGGGCTTGGCCTCATGTAAGCCACCCTGAGTCTTTTTGGGAGATGGTGGTGGGGTATAAATAAATTATTATTATTATTATTCATCATCATCATCATCATCACTCTTTGTCTCTCTAGGGCACGTGTTCAACATGCCCCATGACAACGTGAAGGTCTGTGAGGAGATCTTTGGCAGGCTGAAAACCAACCACATGATGTCTCCCACGCTGATCCAGATTGACCGCACCAACCCATGGTCAGCTTGCAGTGCAGCCATCATCACTGACTTTTTGGACAGTGGACATGGTGAGCAGGGGATGGGACATAGAGGGGTGAAAGAAGACCAAGAACAAGGGAGATCTATAGGGACAAGGACTGGGTGGCTAATATCTCTTGGTATATTTCTTTACTATAAACATGCTCAAAACTAGCAAATAAAAAGTAATACTTTTATTAAGCGGTTTACACCAAGAGGGCTTTAGATAATTAGAAATGCAAAATCTAAATGCTGCTCTAAACAGTCATATGGTTTTAACTTTGAGTATGTTTTAATGGATTTTGACAGAATTTTTTAAAAAACTGTTTATATTTAATTCTGTTTTAATGTTTGCATATTTGTATATTTTAAATTGTATGCCAATGCTTTTATGCTAAGCCACTTCAGGAGAGATAAACCAGAGTATAAATAAATAGGAGTAGTAGTAGTAGTAGTAGTAGTAGAAGAAGAAGAATGTGAAAATGTGTGGCATCAGTTTGGCTGGATTCCAACTGAATTGCTTGAAATCTGTATTGTTGAAAGCTTTCATGGCCAGAATACTTTTAATGTATTGTCGAAGGCTTTCATGGCTGGAATCACTAGGTTCTTGTGGGTTTTTTCGGGCTATAAGGCCATGTTCTAGAGGCATTTCTCCTGACGTTTCGCCTGCATCTATGGCAAGCATCCTCAGAGGTAGTGAGGTCCTGGGTTGTTGTAAGGTTTTAGATAATCACTGGGTTGTTGTAAGGTTTTCGGGCTATATGGCCATGTTCTACAGGCATTCATGTTCTAGAGGCAAAAACCTACAACAACCCACTGCTTGAAATCTCCTTCCCATTTCAATTGGTTAGATGTTGTCTATGACTTTTGTATACTACCTTTCAATTTTAATTTCTCTTTTAGGCATTATTAAGTTTGGACCAAACCCTATATTGTAAATATTGTTAATAAACTCCAAATTTGCTAAAAGCAAGATTAGGAAGTAATGGATCATCGGGGGGGGGGGGGAGACTTGTTAGCAGCAAAGTTTGAAAAAGTTACCTTTTAGACTTCAATCCTTTGGATCCTTGAACTTTGTTTAGCAGATTCAGTTGCTGAATGGGCTACAAAAAGGGTCCTACTTATTATTTCTGAAAACACAGTCTCTATGCAGTCTGGGTTGCCACACTTTTCAAATGAGTTTTGTTTACAGTTCATCTGAAAGCACAGCTTTTGATTCTCTCAGTTATCTCATCTAGTTTCGTTTGTGATTGGAACATCAGATACTGAATCTCAGCCTGAAGAAAATGATCCACTTCTATGATGCCTTCTTTTTTTTGCTGAGCTCTTTCCTGCCTTTTCTAGGTGACTGCCTCTTGGACCAACCCACCAAACCTATCCCATTGCCTGAGGAACTCCCTGGCACCAACTACAACCTCAACCAACAATGTGAGCTTGCCTTTGGTACGGGCTCCAAACCCTGCCCTTACATGCAGTATTGCACCAAGCTGTGGTGCACAGGAAAGGCTCGTGGCCACATCATGTGTCAGACACGACACTTTCCTTGGGCTGATGGCACCAGTTGTGGAGAAGGAAAGTTCTGTCTGAAGGGCATCTGTGTTGAGAGACATAACATCAGTAAGTACCGGGTGAGTACCTGACTATTCTGTGCTGGGGATGTTGCTTGGGGTACGGATGGGGTTCTGTTTGCAAAGGTTTAGGTTGCTACACAATGGAGCTCCAAATCATGCAAAGAAGGTGTATACAAAATGTGGGGAAAGACCCAGTTTGTTTCAGCTGCAGAATTGGGGTATGCATAATTTGTGATTTAAAGGCTTCTCGTATTAGGTAGGATGAGACAACAGTTTGAGTTGGCAGATATTGGGGAAAAACAGTGGAGCTCCCCAAATGTTCCTTCTGAGCTCCTTGGCTCTTCTGCCCTCTTGTTCTGCAAAAAGCTTGGGAAAAAAAATACTATTTTAGACTATAGCCCCCAAAGGCTAAGGATTATTTGGGAGATATGTAAATTTCCATTTGGTTTTGTTCTCTATTTTAAAATGACTAACTTTACCTTTTCTTCTCATTGGAGAAAATTACAATTTTCTGCGTACAATGTTTTTTGTACACAAAATAAAACAAAAATGAGTAAAAAGTCCAGAATTACAGAATACCTTCTTGTAGTTAACTACGGGATGTCTTTATGTAATCCTTTCAGAGGGTATGCTTTAATTTTTTAAAATTTTGTCAATTGTTTTAGGCTTTATTGTAATGTTATATTTAGTAAGATATCTTGAATTTCAATCTTGTTGGAAAAGATGGGGTATAAATGAAGGTAATGCTTCTGAATATATGACAACACACCCCTTTTCACTAAATATTTGTGTTTTTGTCATTATCGCTTCCCTGGTCACACAGAGAGCATTGTTTATAATATCCAATAAGTACCAAGTATGGCTAGATTTCAAGATGTGACACATGGAAGTTCCTGGTTTTGAAGATGAAGACTAGGAAGTGCTAAAGAAATTGGATGGAATGGTTCAGATGAAGCATTGGAGATAATGGGTGTAGGCTTCTTGTCCCCTTAACCAAATCTATTCTTTTTAGGTGGATGGCAATTGGGGGAAATGGGCACCTTATGGCCAGTGCTCCCGGACCTGTGGTGGAGGGGTCCAGTTGGCCAAGCGCGAATGCAACGACCCATCTCCCACTAATGAAGGGAAGTACTGTGAAGGGATTCGAGTTAAATACCGCTCCTGTGGGCTGGACCCCTGTTCTGATTCAGGTAAGTCCTTGTTTGAAGGGAGATGGTATAGTTCAATAAATAATAGGAAATCCATTTTGTATTCTTGAGTGCCTGCATTCCTAAAGCTAAGCAGGCAGAGCATACAGGAAGATACGATTTCAAAATAAATGAGAGCAGTTGAAAAGACCCGGAGAGGTTGGAACCATAAACCTTCCTTCAATCACCTAGGCAAATGACAGTGAAATATTGGAATGTCAGCAACCACAGAATAACTCTCCAGTATCATATAACACATTTTCCTGGTGGAGTGAAAATACTATCCCTGTTCAGTCATTCTGCCTTAACCCAGGGTGAGCAACTGTGGCCCTAAAGCTGTTTGCAAATGACAACTCCCATAAGTCCCCTTGACTATTTTGGTTGAGATCGATGGGAATTCTAGGCCAAAAATTCAAGAGGGACACAGTTTCCTACACATGCCTTAGGATGCAATGCTAACTCACCATTATCACCAAGAGCCAGCAGAATTGATACTGGGGCAGCAGAATTTGTGTTGAGGTCAAACCCTTCCCAACCCAAGTATGCTAGAAAATGATGCACAAGGCTAACCCTTTTGTGGACTAATTTTCTGGCTGAAAAAATATCAAAAATTTCATAGAGTTTTCTTAGGCCAGGAAAAAGCAGTTTTGCTACTTCCTGCCTTCCTATAGCACCTGGTATTCATTGGTTGCCTCCCATCCAAGTATTGACCCTGTTTCGATTCCAAGGTCAGACAGGACTTAAGGGGGGAGGGGGGGTATTCCTGCTTTTGTGACACAACCTTAGAATATGTTTTGCAGAGACTGAACTTCTGAAAGGAATTGTTTTCTTATAGTTCCAGGAAAGAGCTTTCGGGAGGAACAGTGTGAAGCTTTCAATGGTTACAACCACAGTACAAACCGGCTCACTGCCACAGTCTCCTGGGTCCCCAAATATTCTGGAGTTTCCCCTCGGGACAAATGCAAACTCATCTGCAGAGCCAATGGAACAGGATACTTTTATGTCCTGGCACCAAAGGTGAGTGGGAATCTCTTGCTGTTGGTGGTACTGGGTGCTGTCATTGTCTTCCAGAGGGACACAGAATGGAGACAGAAAACTAAAAACTGTGAAAAGTTAATATTATTAATATAATCACAAAATAAAAATGTCTTAAAATCTAAGTGGGAGTGACTTTACATGCTTCCTAAAATGTAATAAAAGAGTGAATTGGTCCCAATTCCAAGTAGATCAGTAGTTCTCAACCTGTGAGTCCTCAGATGTTTGGGCCTTAACTCCCAGAAATCATAACAGCTAGTAAACTAGTTGGGATTTCTGGGAGTTGTAGGCCAAAACACCTGGGGATCCACACCTTGAGAAGCACTGAAGTAGATGTGATGCTACCATGAAATACATTGGTTCAAAAGGTTGGCTTCCAGCACATTGAGTGGCTATGGACATAGTGGTCACATACATTTTCGTCTGACATGTCAGAAAACGAAGCCAGTTTAGTATGAGCAGATGGGAGTGGTATATGTTTCTGTGTGACCAAAGTAACATAACATGCTTCTACCCTACCTTGGTGATCTTCAGGTTGTGGATGGTACGCCATGTTCTCCAGACTCTACCTCACTATGTGTCCAGGGGAAATGTATCAAGGCCGGTTGTGATGGGAAACTTGGTTCCAAAAAGAAGTTTGACAAATGTGGAGTGTGTGGAGGAGACAACAAAAGCTGCAAAAAAGTCTCTGGCTTGTTCACCAAACCCATGTAAGTGAGAAATGCCCATCCAATAGCCACCTAATTGCATTTAGAAGAAGACACTCAGTATAAGATTTAATTTCTAGTGTCCTTGGGCAAGTGGAGCAGAAAAAGATCCCTGCCTGAAACTTTGGAGGTATTCTATATGGAGATAGGTAGATTATGTGTAAGGAACATTTGGATTGACTTATACTCCAAGGTATCACAAATAATGAACAAATAATGAACTCATTAAAGCAACCGATTCAGAATAATTATAATATGCATTTTGCTTTAACTTTTTGGAAGATGTTTCTGATTAACAGTATTTAGTATGGAATGAAAATACTAAACATTTGCATGAGTGGTGATGAACAGCATTAGAAACAGATGAGGTGCCATTTAAAATTCCCATGATGCCTTGGAGTAATGCTTTGAGGGGAGTATTACAGGAAGTGTCAATGGTGGATATCAGACTGATGGTCAACTCTGACTAGCTTGAAAGCTGCACTGTC